CGTAACGAGATTCCTCAAAATCACTTTTTCTATCTTCAAGCTCATAACCTACCATCCATGACTCTCGGTTAGGGAAAAAAATGATAAAACAAATTTTAGGTTTAAGTATGTGTTAAAGCAGAAAGTGTGCTTTGAGAATGTAAATAATACACATATACAGGCATTAGGCAATTGGAGTCTGCACAAATACAAGTTAACCCACTCGTAACAGACTGTTGTATTTTACACAAACTTTTAACCATCATGGAACCATGAAGGTATACATACTATAATATATCTTCAAGAAATGTAGTGAGCTTTTAGTAAACATTACAAGCATTTTGTACACAAAAAAGTCAGATTTTTTAATCAAGTATTTTTACTAAAAATGTGTCTGTGAATATATGAAGTCAAAGTGTGGACTTTTCTGAGTGCAAAATGATTTTTTTATGTTCAGATTAAAAATACTTCATCTGAAAAATGAAATTTCATTTGCATAATCTATAAAACCACCTAAATAAATATTACATGTTCTTTCAGTAAAACTTTACAACTTACCTGTTATTTTCTCTACTTTATACAGGGTAAGTCAATTTCACCAACCCCGTAACCAGCATAAACAAAAATGTTTAAATCTAAATTAAACCTTTTTTCTTTCCAGAGTGACAGCAAATTGTAACAATAAACTACAATTATTTATTCCAAATAGCTTAATGCCTGTAACAGTGTACAACTGTTTAGACTTAAAAATTATTGTTTTATTACCCTTTGATATGTGTCTAACTAATAATATTACCACACAAGTTGTGAATCTCTTAGCAAGCACATAGCTCAAGTTACCATATTGAATTACATAGCACATTAGAAGAATCTTACCTACTCCAATCTAAGTTTCTAATTTGTACATTTTAGTTACTTTTATAATAATAGATAGAATACACAAAAACATAGTACTTATCTGAGTCCTTTTATTTTGTTGTTGACTGCTGATGAAACTTAAGCCTACTTTTTCATATTAATGTTATTACTGCTGCACTAAATAATTTTTATCTAAACAAATAACACAACTAAGAACACAGAATAACAACACGTACAAAGCAAACAATGTCTTATAACTATCATAATTTACCTGGCTTTTTAACTATGCAATAAAAGCCCTTAAAAATTCAGCTAAACTTGTCAACATGAACACCAGGAGAAAAAGTTTTGAACTGAGTTCAAAATAGATAATATTATGTACAGAAAACAATATAATATAACATATCATTTGATAGGTTAAATCTTTGGCTTTCTAGTGGTTATAAATATAGTGTAAAACATCCAAGACAGGTGAACATGGCAAGTGGGTCTGATTTTCTGGTTTATGACTATAAAAATTATGCTTTGCCTTAGTAATGTCTACACTATAATAAGTAATTTATGTTAAATTCTATACTTCCCAGATGAGTGGTACATATACTAAGGAAGGAAGACCTAGAGAACAAACATTACATTTTTCATAAAGGGGAGATTTTTTAAAATGTTTCGTTATAAAATTAAGAATCTAAAACTTATATAATATTAAAATATGATTTATTAATTATGTTTTGATGCCAAGTTTATTCTTATACATTGATAATAAAATACTTTAATTAAGTTTTTAATGTAACTCACTAAAAAGTTGTGACGTGTGCACATAAAGCCAAAAGAAAAGCATTTTATTATAGTTCTTAATACTACAGATCCATTTGGTTTAAACACCTAAAGCTTACTTGTTTTTTCCCCATTGCCCCCAAGTGACACAGCAGTATGTTTGGAGACTTACAATGCTAGAAACTGGGTTTTGATACCTGTGGTGAGCAAAGCACAGATAGCTCATTGAGTAGCTTTGTGCTTAACTTCAAACAAACAAACTTTCTCCACTTCTTAATTTTCTTGTCATGAGCAGGTCAACGTGCACACGTCACAACTTTTTAGTGAGTTACATTCAAAACTTAATTAAAGTATTTTATTATCAATGTATAAGAATAAACTTGGCATCAAAACAAAATTAATAAATCATATTTTAATATTATATAA